AACCCACTTAAAAAACCCCTCAAACTCTTCTTAGCCGCATGCCATCTCTCGGGGCTCCAACGCCCGTCATCAAGATAGGCCCTTGATAACGAAGAGGGCCAGACCTGCGAGAGGGGGGGAGTCTCGCAGGGCACGAAGGTCATTCACCGAGTACATCAAAGATCAAAGGGAGGTGATAGTCCATGGCCAATAACCAGGGGCCAATTTGATGTTATCACAGTCAGAAGGAGTGCAATGCAAGGCTTCAATAGAGTTCCAATGGAGCATGTGAGACCTCAGTGCCCTCTCACGGCAATGGCGGGAGTAAAATGCTGTTTCGGTCCGGCAGAGGGTGACCCAGCCCTCCTCTCACGGGGGCTGGTCAACCACGATCGTCCAAAAAGCCGGAGTTGAGACAGCAGCTATAGACCCACTCCACCAAGACTTGAATCCCCAGATGTAAACCTCCATTCAACGGAGGGGAAGAATGGGGTCAGGTCAGTCCACATAGTCCAGACAGGCTCAGACAGCGGAGATCATAACCGTCATTACCTCCGGGGAGGTCAAGATGGCATCTAGACCCGGAGATGATTGTTCAGCAGGCATACACGGCATGGCATCAGCACATTCAGGGGGATGGGGGTGAAAAAGGAGAGCAGAGGCAACAAATGCCATAGGGGGGAAAACCCCTCAGTCATAGTCCAGCTCTCCCCAACCCCTCCCGGATCTTCCTTGGGACCATGCTGCTTGCCTCGTCCAGCCTCACCCAGCCTCCATAAATCCTCATGGAGGCCTCTGGGACGACCAAGGGGCCAAATAACGCCCCACGGTCGCCCAGGAGATCCAACAAAGCAAGCCAGCAATTGCCAACCTCTCCGACGCTCCCACGCTCCAAACTGTGGCAGCTTCTTCCCTGACCCGGCAGCCGCCATTTCCACGCTTTTTTCTTTTCTAACAGCTAGCAAGCTCTTCCTGACACACGCCATGAACACGTGGCAAGACCTCAAACTCAGAGCCAAACCAAAGCCCGGGATGTGGCATCATAACCATCTGCTCAGGACATTACATCAAAAAACTCAGGATACCACAAAATACCACAGCCCATTACCCAGGTCGTTAAAACACAAAAGACTAATGGGCACCCATCAAGGACCTCACCCACACAGGATGTTACGAAACAGCTGACTAATCTGCAAACATCAACTCCATCAACTAATCAGGATGTAGCAACACAGGCAACCAACCTGCTCACAGCAACAAAGTCAGCACCCCACACCTCCCCACCAATATTTATAGAGAAACGGCAGCTCCGATCACACTTTCCTCGCACAAGCACGAAGCCGAAGACACCAGCCTGAAGATGACAAATGAGACTTTGTCAAAACGTCGCCAAGACATTTCCAATTTTACACGGGAGAAAACCCGAATAACCAAAGACCTACATATAAACACCCGCGAAAACCTCAGAAAACAAATACCATACATACATACATACATACATACATACATACATACATACATACATACATACACACACACACACATACACAAGCAAGCAAGCATACATGTATCTATACTTCTGAAGTTCTAAATTGGGGATGTTTTGCAAAGAAAGCTTTATGATCACTATGATATTGTAAAAGACTTGTAACAGAAGCTACAGTAGATCTTATTGAGGAAAAGATGGGAAACTCTGGAGATTGATAATAGTCAAAATCTTTGCTTAGAAGACAAGAAGCACAGCAAACAAAGTAGATGGCAAAGATTGAACCAGCACAAACTGGAAAATGCTGCTTTCAATGTGGAACAGGAAAATACAGAGTATGGATTGGGGACAAGTAGAGGACTATGCTGTCCCTTCTTGTCCTCCAGAAACAATTGGCACCTTCTACTTGCAATGGGCAACTTGATAGTTGGGGATACCCTAATTATGAAAAATTATAAATAGGACAGATCAATTTTTGACTGAGTTTGCACAGCTTGATTGATTGAAACATCTTATTCCTCAGTCAATTATCTCAACTCTGAATGGCAGCTGCACATAAGAAGGGATGTCTTGGGAACTTTGGGGTCATATTTTTAGTGTTCCCTGTAACTCCAAAGTGGGATATGAAAACTGATCTATCTATGACAGGTATCAGCAACCTGTGGCTCTGGAGCCACATGCGACTCTTTGGGCCCTCTGCTGTGGCTCCCTGTCAGGTGATCCTACCACTGGCTGGCCCCGTCCCTCGCCCTCCCAGTCACTCCTCACCTGGCCTGAGAAGGTAAGGGCGACTGCAGGTGATGGAAAAGTGGTAGGGGCAGAGACAGAGAGATACACACAGAGAGAGACATAGAGAGATACATAGAGAGAGGGAGGGAGAGAGAGATGTCAAAAGGGTTTTGTGGTTCCCGGTGTTTTTTAACAACCGGTTCTCTGCCCTAATGACCAGCTGGGTAGGCGTGGCTAGTGGGGGGGTCATGTGACTGGTGGAAGTGAGTGACGTTGAGTTGGCCACTCCCACCCAGGTTTTGTGGCTCTCCATGGTTTATTTTCTGTGGAAACTGGTCCAAATGGCTTTTAGAGTGTTTAAGGTTGCAGACCCCTGATCTATTCAGTATTAAAAGAGTTCAATTTTATTGAGATATCTCTAGGCTTATATCTTGATCACAAATACTAGAAGGGACAGTTCATCCTTAGGTAAATTATTTGGATGATACAGAGTGACATTTAATTTGTTTAAATTTATTTAGTCAATTTATTGATTTGGTTTAACTCCAAACAAGTGTGAGCCTGTTAGGATAAAATTTACTCCTCTCAAGGTTAATTGCATAGCTCAGACAGCTTAGTTTTGAAGTTTGCATGACTTTCCTGTTTCCTTAGAATTTTGGAAATCCAATATCTGTTTCAGGGATGAGAAAACTGAGCATTCAGATCTTTCAGAATTAAGAGTTGCCCATCCTGGTTGAGACTGCTGGAAGTTGTACAGTTTAATAATATATGGAAAAGACCTTGGGAAAAGGGATGAAGAGACACAGCCTGGGGAACAGTCAGATAAGAGACAACATAGCTCACAGCTGGAGAATTGTTGGGGCAAGAGGCACAAAGTTTCTGGGCTAAAAGGAAACAACAGGAGAATTGTACTTTCAGATTTGCAAGATTCTATTAATGTAGCTTTATAACAAAGTAAAATGAGCTTATCTGGTTGCGTTCCCTATCTGGCTTATCTGTTATGCTGACATGATTCATAAAATAGCTCTACAGAGAATCATTAAAACTGTCCAGAATATCATTGGACTCCAGCTACCAGCCCTGGATGACATCTTCGAATATTGCTGTTTGAGAAAGTTGCATAACATTCTCAGAGACTCTTCCCATCCTGCTTACAATCTTTTTGGACTGTTGCCTTCTGGCAGAAGATGCAGAACAATTAAAACTCGGACCACATGTTTTCTGAATAGTTTTTATCCCAGAGCTATAATTGCACTCAACAATGAACTAAAGGGCCACCATCAGTGAGCTGTTGGACAGCATTACTTGGTGTGTTGTGTGGATGTTTGGGTGGTTTAGGGGTGGGGAATTGTGATGGGTGGGAGTGTGTTTGGGGATTGTTATATGTGTTGGACCTGGTCTTTGGGTGTTAAGTGAATTTCGTTGTATGGGTATACTGTGTATACACGTACAATGACAATAAAGTTGTTGTTGTTGTTGTTGTTGTTGCTGCTGCTGCTGCTGCTGCTGCTGCTGTTGTTGTTGTTGTTGTTATTATTATTATTATTGTTGTTATTATTATTATTATTATTATTATTATTATTATTATTATTATTATTCAGTAATATCTGAAGAGCCAAAGGAATCACATTGCTAATCTAACATATTATCAGTTCATACATTCTGAGAAAAAAGTTTTCTTCTGATTGCTTATAATGCAGTTGTATCCTGTTTTTTCCTCCACTGAGGTCAAAGCAGCTTATATAAAATTCATGGATTGTTCTCAGCTAAAAGTTGATTGATCCAGTTTTACTAATTTGAAGAATTTGCAACTTTCTAGTTAATATTTTTGGATGTGGGGGTTAATCCATAAATTGAGTCACTAAATAAACTTATTTTGGTATTCTTGGCATGTAAATTACCACTGTGTGCCACATGTAGATTATTCCACCTGTTGCCACATTTGTGTGCCTGTAATGAAGAGAACTAATCATTAATTAGTTCAGATGCAAATGCAGTTAATAAAGATAAAAACAGGACCAGGCCCTACATTCTTTATATTCCTTATTTCAAGATTCTTCATGGATCACATTTGAAGATTTGTCCATGTGGTAGAAGTGACAGTTTCCAAGTCAGAAAGACTTACAGTAAGTTCCAAGTCTAGAAGCAGTTGCTAAGTCATGACTAGAGCAAAAACTATTTTATTTATTTAGAAAATGCATATGTTACCCATTTTCAATAACTGGGCAAGTTATTACCATAATAAAATCATATAATTATGAAATCCATAAAATACATATGATGATATTCTAAAAGGCCTACCTGAAAGTGTAGTTTTTGAACCCTCTCCTAAAACTGCCTAAAGTCTGTGAAGACTGATGTGATAAACAAATTTTATAAATAAAGAAAAAGGCGAGAAACTACTCTTTCATGTCAGTTTGTCCACTTTTTGGGTCCCGTCATAGAAAAAGAGAATTAATAAATGTTTTGTAGGATCTGCAAAAGATCCTCTGTTAATATTCTAAGGGTACATTATGTTTTTTTCCTTTTTTGAAAACTTGTAAGGACATCTATAAAAGGTACTTATTTCAATACTTTTACTATTTATATTAAATATTTATATCACAGGATTTTTTTTAAAAAAAATCCTTAAAATATATTCCGGGAATCTTTATCTCATTGTGAAACCATTTTCTGATTAGGAATTTGAAATATATTATGTAAAACCAGCCTCTATTTGGATTCCTGTTATGTCTGAAATACAACTTTATTATGACATCACACATTCCAGCTTGTTGTTGCCAAGATATTTACAGCTTCTTCCTCTTCTTGTTTTAACAGATTCAGGGATCAACATTTTGTTGCTGTTTACTTACTTTAAAATGACAAGTAAGGGTCAAGGTAGGGCAACTGAGTTTGACAAGAAAGGCTTCGATTTTAAGGTTTTGCTGCGAAAGTAAAGGGAGGATGGAATTACAATGAATGGTTGCTAATTTATTGGGAGTGCTAAAAGTTCCCTTTCTGTGTATCACGTAGTCCAATTTAGAGTGTTTGCCATATATGTGAAAAACATGGTCAGACATTTTCACACAATCACTGTGAAAATATCAGTATTAATTTGAAAGGGAGTAAGACTGCACTTTGAAGAAACACATTGTTTGTATGGTATTGGGTGGCCTTATAAATCGAGTAAATAAGTAAATAACTTTGCAATGTTGAATGTTCTTAGTAGTTATGTTCAGCTTTTGGAATTCTCTTTTTCACTGATGCTGAATAGATTTTATTCTGGAAGGACTTTTAGTATGTGATAATGTGTTTACGCTTTTATTTGAACAGCTGTCCCTATCTCCTTGAGCGACTGCTTCATATTGTCGATTTGTAAACTGTATCTTTTAAATGTTTCCATCATGTACCAGAAAGAAAAGACCTAATGAGCACAAATTACAAATTGCAAAACTGACATCAGCAAGCCACAGAACTAAAAATAATACATGTACGTTTCTAAATAAAAATGTTGGATGCCAACCTCGGCCATTGAAATGATCAATTCCTTATGATGGGGATTTAAGTATAAATGGCTTCTGACCAGCTGGATCCTATTTTAAGAAGAAATAACTACTTATGAGATACAATTGCTCAAAATCCATTATAATGTAATTGACATCACAAAAAGTAGGTTTTAACCCTGAGCGTGAACACTATTTCAGTTGTTATATATCGGATCAATCTACAGCTGACACGAAAATAAAAACAAAGTTTCATTTTGTACATAGAACATATTTTTTTGTCTCCTAGAATTTCCAAGTTTTGTTTCCATGTCCATAAGAAGTAAAAACTTGCATTCTTTTAAAAATCTCATTTAAACAACCTAAAATGAAAACACATTTATCTGAGGGTGCTGAAATTCTGAGTCAGCATTTACATTTATGTTACTGCAGAACACTGGCATTAAATAATATATATATGAGTTTGTGTCCTTCTAGATGTTCTGATGTACAATTCCCATCTTCCCTAATCACTGGAGGCCTTCAGAGTTATAATCCAAAATAACTGCAAGGACCCCGTTTCAGAAGGCTTGTTGAGTTACTGGATGGCTTTGAAAGCAAAAAGCATGAGATAGCAATGACTTGTTTCCTTACTGTCAACCGTTTCGAGGCATCCACTTCAATCATCCCTCGTAAGAGATTCTGACAATCTGGGGGAATGAAATGTGGCATATGGAACACGCCACGTTTCACTTTCTCCAACAGCTGCCTCAAGTTATCATCATCGAACGGCAGAGCACCCTGGAGCAGCGTGAGAAAAGAAGGGAAACAATATGGCTGAGCAAAATCAATTACAGAATGAAAAAGGTACAAGCAGAATGGCGGGAGACTGTCTCACAAACCAAGATTGGAATAGGGAACAATTTGACAGTGAGAAACAACATAGCAGAATAGTTTTCATGCAAATTATCCGTTGTAGCTGTAGTCCCAATACCTTGATTCTCCTAGGCAAACTTTTTTAGCAATGGATATTTATTGCAGCAAGTTATTGTGCAAATTTACATTAAATAAAGGAGGAAAGCTACTCTGATTATAGAATGAATGACATGGGCAAAGTAATTTTAAAAATTGTTTATATTACAAAAGACTGCCTATAAGTCATGAAGGATAGGGATGTCCACAGTTGATAATTAGAGCTCTCTGAAGTTTCATAGAAGTGAAAATATTGATTTGAGTGGACTTTATTAAAATGAATGCAAGTTATGCATGAGTAAAATGAAGAAATTCATAAAATGAATGGATTCCAGAGATTAGCCAAAAAAATAAAAATAAATAAGACAGTTCACATTACCTTTCTTGCTATATTAGTTTAAATATTATTTATTCACATTATGTTACTTCCAATTGGGAGTGGGGGAATCAATGAGACACACTCATAAGGTTTGAATGCTAAATCAGGAGACTTGGATCATAGGCTCTTAAGAGTCAGAGTTAGGCAAAATCATTCTAGTACCACAATATATGCATGCTCCTTACATGGCAAAAAGTTCATATGTAAATGTAAGTGATTGCAAAACTTTCGATGGGTTTAGGGAAAAAATACAGGAGAATTTGACTGGAATATTGCCCTATTAATTCATCTATGCATGACCATAATATCCAATTAAGACAAAATTAAAAACAAAAGCCACTGATTAGAATATGAATTTCCTCAGGAATCTATTTTAATATCAAATACGATGCCTAATCAATTTTTATTTCTATGTTAATATTCTGGGAGGAAAAACAAAACAATTCAAATGCTAAGATTATAATTCCTTGGATTAGATTATGAGTGCTTGCATTTTTTTATGTTTATTTGTTCTTGCTTTTGGAGAATTGTTAACAGGTCTTATTTTACTGATTTGTCTGACTGAAATTATATGATAGCGAGAAAAAACATAAATCGATACAATTTTGCAGTCATATTTGTTGCTTCAAAATCTAACTCAAAATTCTGTATTAATATGATGTATAAAAAATGACTAGGGCAAGAGTGAGAGCTATCTCTGCATCTGTGGCTTGCAAGAGAGATAGGCAGAATTTTATTAAAGTTTAACCAACCATCTCCTTAGTGCTTTTCAACTTTACCAAAAGATTTTTTTTTAAATGTTACTGAGCATAGGTCACTAAATTGAATTACAGGCCCAAAGCCAAACCCTTTTCCTGTAATGAGGTAAGCAATTCTTCTCTCAGCGGTGTATATGATCTCATAATATTGAGTAGTGATAATAAAGATTGCACTTGTGAGCCCTTACTAGAATCTCTGATCGACACTGCTCACAAAGAAAACTAGTTAAAAGGCTTATTTAAATGATTGCCAAATGATGAATAAATCAACATTTTCAGATAATTGGAAGAGCTAACACTACCCTTATTATTCATTAATTCAAACACATCTTAATTAAAACACTTGATTCAGTTCGGCTCTCAATCTGGCATGCAGAAACTGTTGTGGCTCCATTACCTGAGCCTGGGCTATCGACAGATGCAGACTCTGAGAGTGAGGGAGAGGAGTTGGCAAGGCTTCCCACTCCAGGACCCTCCTCTCTGGCAATGCCTCCGGAGGACACCGAAGGCCAAAAGATAGGCTTAGAGCCAAGCACGTCCCCGCAGCCACAGGTGGACAGCGACGAAGAAGATAAGTGCTGGCTGGACCCTCGGCAGAGGCGCAGGGAGAAGCGTGCGCAGCAGAGGGGAAGGCGTGCCAGAGATTAGCTGAGTCACTGGACCACACCCCACAGGGTATAAATGTGGGTGTGGTGGCCGGTTCAGTTTGTGACGAGCAAAAACTAGAAATAATCCATGATCTCTGCGTTACTGGACTTTGTCTGCTTTATCGGACGGCATTTGGATTAATCCTTGTATTGTTGAAACTCTGCCTGTTTTATCAGAATGCTTGCAGTCTAATCTTTGTTTTGTGTGAATAAAGTCTGAATTGGCAGCTAGCCACTGGGTTGCTGCCAGCTTTATCTTCAAAGAGTTTTGTTATGTGGCTTATTAACTCCGGGCAGTCTGTGGGGGTGCGTGTGTGGTATGGGGACAGAACAGAAACCCAGAAGCAAGGTATGTCTCATTTAGATGATTTGAGTAAGATAAAACTGGGTACTGCAGATGAACTTGCAACCTCAACTTCACCTTTCTTTACCTAAGTCAATAGAAGATTTTACAGCTGGGTTGGTACACATTTATTGATGCTGTTCATCTATCAAGATGTGTGTCAGCTCTATGAGGTAAATCCAGATCAGGAAACCAGCTCTACAGGAAAACTAGAACGATACTTTATTGAGACAAGCTGCAATAACCAAATCTTGAAAGTCTGATTGTGCTTTTTCTCTGCACCTTCTTATATCCCAGTGAATCAGGGGGAGGCCAGCCTGAGTCTTTTGTAGTACTATTCCCTGCTGCTCATTTTGCTCATTCAGATTCTGAATATTCTCTTCCTGGCTCTCTACAATGAGGCAGACAGACATTTCACCCTTCCCATTTGCAACCGAACAGCACACCTGAAGTGCCTTCAAAAGCCTCACAACCTCGTGTGCTTACTGATCATGTCTTGTGACCTGGTCTCAAAGAGAACCTGCCAACACGAGAGTCCTCTGGCCAAGCTACAACTGATGTAATGGATTCTTATTCTGCGACAGTCCATCTCACTGGAGAAACACAAGGCCTTCTGAAACAATTCACTTCTCATCAGTTTACTGAAAACTATCAAGAAAGGGGTGCTCTCTGGAGGATCTCTTTCTGGCAGTTATTCTAAAATACCAGCACCACCACAGAAAAGCAGTAGTTTTTAACTTCAGTGCACTGAGCCTTAAAAGAAATGCTAAATGCAAACCTAGGCTGGTGGATCCCAGTCCTGGCATCCTTGTACATGCATTAGAATGGCCCTAATGTAAAAAAAAAAAAAAAGTTTAAAAATGTAAAAAAAAAAAAAAGGGAAAGAAAATAGGAAAGGCTTGGTTAACTTTTCCCCCATTGGCCTATTGAATGTTGTAAGCCAAGCCATGCACTAGATACTTTTCTTCAAAAAGTCACAGATTAGATGGTACAAAACAACTCCCTGCTGAAGAAAAAAGCCAGTTTTAGGGAAGGCCAGCAGTACCTTATTCTTCACCATCAAATAGAAAAATGTATCAGCCACCTCTGAAGGATTCTTTACATTGCTTTTAAAAAATTTATAAATACCAGTGTCTTTGATCTGATCCCTAGAGCCAGGCTCTTGGGAGAAGAACTGAATCTTCTATTGATGGATACCTTTGGTGCTGATCATAACAAAATACAAAAAACAATGGGATGCATGCTCTCTGTAGTGCTCCACTTTCATCCATAATCCACATCCACACAAGAGTGGAGCAAGGTCGCATTTTGGTATCACTTTCACTTTCTGTTCTAACTCAATTTACTTTGCAAAAGATTGTCCTTTTATAGTAAGAATGGGACAGGTATCCTCCTCTCCTAATACTAGTAGAGCTGAACTGGAGTCTCCTGCTCTTTGTCCTTTATTGTAGCTAGGAAAAAGCTTCTTCTTCTTATTTTTTTTAATACCTGCAGTTTTTCAGAAGTGGTTTGCGATTGCCTGCTTCCTTAGTCCGAGAGAAAATAATTGACTCAAGATCACCCAGCTAGCTTTGTAGCTTCTAGTAGGGACTAGAACTCATGGTATTTGCTTTCTAGCCTGATGCCTTAACTATTAGATCAAACTGGGCCTGGTGGCTCAGCAGACTAAAAGCATTGTGATTAACACCAGCTGTCTGCAATTACTGTAAATTCGAATCTCACCAGGCTCAAGGTTGACTCAGCCTTCCATCCTTTCTAAGGTAGGTAAAATGAAGACCCAGTTTGTGGGGGCAATAAGCTGACTTTGTATAAATATACAAAAGTATGAAGGCTATTGCTTAACACATTGTAAGCCGCCCTGAGTCTCCGGAGAAGGGTGGCATATAAATCAAATTAAAAAAAAAAAACTATCTACAGTGCTCAACTATTACAGAGCTAATCACTTTTTCTAAAAGGTCTGTTATTCATTGCCATTCTTGGAAAATTAATGGCTTTAGCATTGATCAAAACAAACTTTTTAAATATTTGGGCATATCTTTCCAACTTCAGCATCCTGGAATCAAAAGCAAAGGAAGGTCACCATTAGGACTCATAAATGCAATTTTGCATTTCATTAACTGTAATGCCAGTAACCACGTTCCAGCCACAATAAAAAAATAACTGAGAGCCAATGTCATTAGCCACCTGCTACACAAGGTACATATTTATTGTCATAACTTAAAAGTCCATAAAAGTAGCTCAACCTAATTTTTTGAGAATTTGCAAGCATCCCAGCGCATATCAGAAACCCTGCTGGGACTACAATCTGGCCTTATTTCTGTAAAGATTGAAATGAATTGTTGCCATTTCAAATATTGGATTAAATTATTTTTTGTTTTGGCTGTACTTTGGCTTTTCTGATTTATATGCTCATGGTAGAAGGCATCATCATCGTCATCATCATCATCATCATCATCATCATCATCATCATCATCATCATCATCAGAGATTTAAAACATTACATTACCCCACCATCTGACTTCATTTGCCTATGAGGGACCATTGTTTGAGATGAAACAGTGTCCTTGACACTGGTATCTGTCTCAAGTTAAGCAAAACTCTGTTTCTATATGGAGCAGGCTTCTTTGCGAGACTCTCCTCCCTTGCCAAGTATTTAGCCAACATTCATAGTCCAATCCAGAGGAGAGGTTTCACTTTTGTCTGTCAATGTTTTGCCATCTTCACTGTTAGAAAGGAGATTCAGTAACGCCCCTGTCCCTGAACACTGGAAAAAAATATATATAGTAACCATCTGTCATGCACTTTTGAACTGTCCTTTCTTATGGTGTGGCAAGTAAACCTAATCATGCCTTTCTTAATTCCATTCTTGCACCAGTTCAGAGGATGAAAATATTCTTTTGCTGTTAGCTGGCAATTCACCAAATATCTCCAGAAGTGTGGCTCAGGGCTGCCTTAACGCATGGGCCTGATGCAGGATGGGTTCCATTTACGTTCGCTACCGGTTTGCAATGAGAGCGTGTGTGTGTGTGCGCTTGCTTCGCTCGTGCCTAGCGCTTCTGCACATGTGCAGAGCATCTGTGATGACGTCTGGGTGGGTGGGCGGAGCCTCCCACCGCCGTTTCTACCGGTTTGCAAGATCCGGACCGAACCGGTAGCAGCCCACCACTTGCCCGTGGGCCCCATGAGCGTAGGGGTCCCATACTAATCTGTGTATGTTAACCCTTCAATCCGCCTTGTATCATATAAATTCAGCAATTGTACGGCTTACTGAGTACTGTTTTGTTTTTCAACATTGATTTTGTTGGAAGTGCCAATAAAATAAATATATGTTTAATTTTATCGACCATTTACATTTTTATTCCTGTGAGTAGTCATAGGGGCCCCAGTACATTGCTTTGTCTGGGGTCCATAATGATGTTAAGATGGCCCTGGAATGGCTAGGGTCATTTGCAGCTGCCATTGCTATCAGACATTCATTTTTTAGCAATACTGGTAACTTCAATATCCTTCTGTATAAGCATTTGTCTATATTGTTTGGTTGGCTAGAAAGGTCCCCCCCGCCCCTTCAATATGCCTGTTTTGGTTTTTGACATATAAATCAATTAATATTTTAAATGTTGAGTGGGGTTTGTTATTTACTTTAGATGCCTGGAAATAATTGTTACTTTAAATCAGATCTATCTTTCTGATACTGATGCACAACTTAAAGAAGAAAATGAAACCATAGGATATAAATATTAATCATTGAATTATATTAATAAATGGTGGATGAGTTACAGAATTAATGATACCTATTGATCATCTTTTAATTATAATCTCTTTGGTATCCTCCCTATTTTAGCACAATAAAAAAGTCTGAATTCTAATAAAAACTCCTCTGCTAATTATAGGAGTATCAGCAATTTAGGGAAATAGGAGAATAATTTGTCATGCATTTCGATGATGGGAATCTTGCAGGTAAATTTCATTCTTGATTAAACAGGAAAGAACATGGCAGTAATATAGATAAAGCCAAAGTTGAAATGTGAAAATAGAAAGGGGAAAAAAAAAGAAAGTAAAGATAATGAGGATCGTAACTCACCACTAACAATGCAAACAAAATGACTCCACAGCTCCAAACATCTGCTTTTCTCCCATCATATTTTTCTCCCTGTGCAATATGGTAACCAAAGAATATTAGGGAAATATTACAATCAGATGAACCTACATTGTATGGAAAACTATTTTCTCCCCAAAGTATGGGCCTTATGTTTCACATATAAAATATTTAGCTTTATATAAAATAAATATAGGGTATATTACACCGAGATATAACACTAGCCAAATTAATTCTACCAACAGTGCTTACCCACCAAACCTTTCTAACCCTCTCCTTTAATGAACAAGCATACGGAGCCCAGGTGAAAATGGACTGCTTACCTGTATTGGTGGTTCTTCAAACTCTTATTTGTACATTCACACATTTGGGTGATATGCCTACACAGAGTGGAGGACTTGTCAGCAGGAAGATCATTCTCTAGTATGTGTACTCTTGGGTAAAATTCCTACCTGTTCCCTCACTTTCCCTAGAGGAGATGCAGCAGTCCAGGGGACATTCAGGCTACCTAAAACTGAGGCACCTGTAGTGGAGAAGGTGGGATTGTAGTATGAATGCACAGATGACAATTAAAAGAACTACAATTCGAAGCATGCAGCTTAATCTTCTTTTTGTTGCCTCTGTGCATCCTGTAAGTGAATAACTGATTATTTCCTCAGGGGTGAAGGGCAGGAACCAAGTCTCTGCAGAATGGAAGACTCCTCTGCTTTGTCCAAGAAGACTTCTGCTCTTTTTTTTTGATATCTAAGTTACAACATTTTTAAAATGCTGAGAATATGTGTTAGCCCTGAAAAGGTCAAGCAAAAAGATATTCACTAGGAAGGCTGTAAACGAAGTTATGGGTTCAATCGCATCGGTACTTATCTGCTTGGAAAAGCATTATTTTGGCTAGTTAGTAAAATAGTGGAGAAGTTGCTGATATCCATTGAGTGAACATCTGAAGTGATATTGGCAGGTTCTTTTTGATACCAGATTTTAAAAAAAAAAACTGTAAAGAATGAAGAAAAAAAGAATCCCAGTTTTGCTGGAAGATACAACATGGTTTCTCTCTACAAAAGGGTGGCATTGTTTATGCTTATTGACACTAAGAGATGAATTGAACAGGATCCTATGGCTGCTGTTGCCATTCAATAATAGAGAGCTTATTCATACAATGTGACAATTGGTGAACTACTGCATCGTTATTATTTTTCTTTGCCATATGGATTGCCCTGGATGTCATATACCCACGTTTTCCACTCCCAAAGATAAAAGGTAGACAGCTTTAAAAAGAGATGGTTTTATCTGGGAAAGCTTTAAAAGACTACCAAAGAACAGGTCTACCAGGACCTGTTACTTACTAGCCCAAAGCACTATATTAGCTTTGATTTAGGGACAGTGGTCCTTTGACTTCCAATTGTAGGAGAATGATGATGGGAAAACAATCTCCACCTTCTGTTTATGAGGATCTGCCTGACTATCGGTGGGAAATTGACCTTGAACTTAATAAGGCTATTCTTTGTTCTGTAGCAGATTCTAAACCTGGTTCCACACTGTTTGATGATATGCTTGGCTGTATTGTCTGAATAATCTGGATGGCTGGTTCTGAAGCAGATTCAAATTCTTGTACTACCATGGATTTTAGATAACTGATGTGGTACTTCATATAAAAGATCTTTGAATCAACCCCTCCTCCCCCATTCTATCAGTGGTAAGTGATATCATAAATAGTTGGGGTGCAGAGCTAGAAGCCTTGAGTCGGGACTGGGAAGTTCACCACCAAAAAAAGATAATAACTGGAATACCCTTCAAATTTAGAGGTGCATTCGTGGATGAAGATTCTTGGATGAAGGCTTATTTGAGGGGGGAAAAAACAGTTTTGACAGATTCGCATATGAAGGTATCATTCTGTCTTAGTGTTCAATACAAAGAGAGTTTCTGCAAGTGAAGAGCTGTAGGATTTATTTCTACTTTGATTGATAAATAAATAAAAATACTTAGAAGGAATATCCTTCAATTTTTCTGCCAATAGCTTTGAAGTAAAGAGAAGGGAATTCAAGTTGCAAACTGTTTGGATGGAAGGCAATCATAGATGACATGTAAGTTGTGGAATGTGACTTGAAAGTTATTGTCCTAGGACTCAGAACAATATACATCAATGCGAGCACAGTTGTGACAAATATCTTCTTTCATAAGACCTTCATAATTATTCTTTCATAGGAATAATCTCTTCTGGCTTGCTTGGAAAATATCTGGGATTAACCATAATCTTTATCAACATAGCCCTCTATTAAACAAAAAGAATAAGGGAAGGTCTGTACATTTGTGGCAATTTGCGGCCACACTAAGTATGCTTCCTAAAGGGGACATTCCTTGCCATATGCCCTACAGCAAGGGTGTCAAACTTGCGGCCCACGGGCCAGATGCGTCATCCACTGGCCACCTCCACCCCTGTTTTAGCGAAGGGGGGAAAGTCGCGATACGTCACGTGACAACAACATGACGCCACAAGTTTGACACCCCTGCCCTATAGTATAATCAAATGGGAGGGCAGCAAGAACATCTCACAGCCAGTAAAATCTCCTTCTGAGAAAGCTCTGTACAGTAGATTAAATCTTATAGATGAAACAAACGAGTAAGAAGTGCTTTTCACTAAAGCATTCGATGAAGAGAAGAACCCAGGCCCTGCTGCAGCAGTCAAGAAAAAAATGGAGGAAACAGGTGGGAACACACCCAAGTGCATGCATGCTGGAGAGTGAGTTTCCTGCAAAAAAAACAAAACAAAAAACCACACACACTCAGGGCAGGCGCATCCCTCATATGTGTGATACACATAAATCATAAAGAAGAATGTAAATCTAGGTGAGAAGAGAAGTATGGCATATATCTCCCATGTGAAAGAATGAACTGAGCATTGTAGCATGCAGCTGAGGGTTGAGGAAAGGAGAGGAGGATTAGAAGGGTTTTGATAGAGTGTCTTTTTTCAATCTGTTGGAAGCGAAATGTAACTGGTATGGCAAGCATCAAGAGAATGTTTCAAAAATGGAAATGGAAAGTGGCCAGTGGATAGAATACCTATCAAGCAGACAGGACCCCATATAAATCCTTCAAGAATGGAGTGAGCAAGACTCATATAGCAATCTTCTTGTAGCTCTAAATCACAACTCTGATGCATCAAGTTAAGATTTAGCCTTGTGAAATCTCGAGGACAGCAAGCACTGTGTAGGAAATCAACCTTGAAGCAAATCATTCTCAGTTATAAGTTTCTAGATTGAGTGGAATTTATCTAAAATGGTTAAAAGGACCAGAGATCCTTAGGAAAAGATTAACCCGAGTCCATAATTGATTTCATAACCCCACTCTAACTTACCCGGATTACTTCTGGGCAGGCGTAATGCGGCGATCTGAAAAATAAAACATGATCCAGTAAATAATTTTTAAAATAATCCTATTTTTGTTTGTATGAGTACGTGCTTTATCTGCAAAAACCACAACCGCTAAAATTTCAGAGATGGCATCAGTCATTAGTGGAAAATTAAACTCATGGTTCGGGCCCCTATTTTTGGTTCAGATATCCTGATGTTCTCTATTGGCAGCAAGGTCATGAGCTGCATGGCGTATTTGCCACCTTGTGCAGGAATGTTATTTCCATCACATCCCAGCACCTTCTGCAGGACAGCTTCTTTGCAGGGGAGTCAAGAATGCTCTTTAATATAAGCTGATAAAAGCATATTTACCTGACATGCCATCTTACGTGTCATAAATTGATGAGTGATCAATTTGTAAATTATACCTAGATATGAATATTAAGGAACAGTTGTCAGAATAGTGAAGTGTACTAACATGTATTTATTTAGGAAACTGCCAAAACATTTTTTTTCCTGGCGGTTTTAATTTATATATCTATCTTGTTACATATTTTTATATGTTTATTTAATTTGTAGTAATATAATGGCCAAGGCTTGACTGATAAACATGATTGCCAAAATCCATTAACATTTAACTAGCAGCAGTTGAACGGATTGCCATCAATCATTCAAATAACTACCACCGTTCAAAATACAGCAAACTGGGAGGGAATCTTTTCTGTAACCAGAGGTAAATTTTTAGGGTGGATTGTTTTGTTCACTCCAAGAACTGTTGGGAATTTTAGAGACATCATACAGGTAGTCCTCGAATTATGACCAAAATTGGAAGCATAATTTTCATTGCTAAGCAAGGCAGTAGTTATGGAGTCATGCCCAATTTTATATCTTTATATGCTACGGCTGTTAAGCGAATCACTCCAATTGTTAAGTGAATCATGAAACCATTAAGCAAATTTGGCTTCTTCCATTGATTTTGCTTGTTGGAAGCTGACTGGGAAAATCACAAATGGTGATCACATCAGTGGTGGGTTCCTCCCGGTTCGGCTCTGTTTGGCCGAGCTGGTAGTGGTGACGATATGACGTCATCGAACCAATTCTATTCCTTCAGGAGCTGGACCCTCCCGCCCGCCTCCGCGTTAATACTACCTTTTATTTCGTTGTTTTCAGCCCAGCTGATAGGTGCAGCAGAGTGGATTGCTGCACCTCAGCTGGGCAGATTCATAATGCACTTGCGCACGGCGATCACATGTGAAGCACATGCACGGAGAGGCGATTGCGCGCAAAGCGTGTGCACAAAGACAACCGGTAGTAAAGCCAGTTAGAACCCACCCCTGGATCACATGACCCTAGGACGCTACAACGGTCATAAATACAGGCCAGTTGCCAGTTGCCCAAATTTTGATTATGTGACTGAGGGTTCTGTGATGGTTGTAAATGTGAGCACCTGTTATAAGTCATTTTTTTCAGGACTGCTGTACCTTCGAATGGTCACTAAATAGTTGTAAGTTGAAGACTGTGTATAACATGAGTCTGTGATTTGTGCTGCCAAATGTCAGCTCTTTTAAAAAAAATTTGTGACCTTGGATTTCATTAAATATATATAAAAATCACACCTTCATTTTTTTAAAAAAAAATTATCTGAGCTCTTACTTTTGAAGGAAAAGCAATTGAAAATTCCTTAGGTCAAGACCCTATAGAACAAACATTATCTTTTTTTGTTTCACAAGATTTCCTGAAATCAAAAGGAATTACAAATAGTTCTGTGTGGAAAACTTGAAAATCTGCCCAAGTCTTTCTGATAAAAGTCAGAGGATCAAGCCAGCCCTACGCTATAATTTATACTTCCAAGATCTGCTCTCTTTCCTCAGTCTGCACCAGTGGTGGGTTGCTCCTGGTTCAGTCCAGTTCTATAGAACCAGTAGTAAAACCAATGGGAGGCTCTGCCCACCCGCCATGGCATCATCATGGGTGATCTGCGCATGAGCAGAAGCGTGTGTGCTCCCGCTGCGAACCGGTAGTAAATGTAAGTGGAACCCACCCCTGGTCTGCACATATTGCTATTGAGAAAATGTCCAAGCATTCTATCGAACAACGACTAACAAATAGAGTTAGTAAAGAACACAATGTCCAGAAATGTAACCATATTTTCATTAAAAGGTAAGTACAGATGTAACATAGCAACTCTCTTAAGCTCTCTTTATAACGAGACCCAATCATCCTTTGACATCATCACAACCTACTGCTAAACAGGTCCTAACTTGCCCAGTTTTAGATTGTGGCATTGGACCTGGAAAAACACGGGCCAATGATTTTCAGCCGATTTTCAGCCAATTTTCTACTTCCCTTCCCTTCCATTCTCACATAGTTTTATTTTGCATCCTTAAACATGTTATCATTGGTGACCAAGAAGGGAAAGTCTCAATTTTATTTCCAAAGAGAATATAATGTGTTTCTGTAATTCCTTACTTACTATTTTTCATATAATACTTTAAATATGCATATTGTGATCAAAGAATAAATCCATCATTTTTTTCTGGATTCAATAAAGAGAAGATCAATAGAAAAAGTTATGTTTTTCACTGACTTGCTTACTCAATAGTTATATATATATTTCCTGTAGTTACCAGTTATATAGAATTAACAACTTGTACAGCTGCTCATCTATCAGAAGAAACCATGGATAGTAATGTTAAGGGGCAAAATTACTGGAATACCTTCTTCCTCTTTTCTCTAATGAGTTATTAGAGTTTCTTGATCAGGTTACACATATGAGGTACAGTGGTTAGCTGCTATTGTAAACTTGCTGACTTTGCAAAATTGATTCAGCTTATTCATATCCTTCACTTTACCAATAGCTTTTCTTGTTTTGTTTCAAAGAGTTTCCCTATTCTTATCAGCAACAGTTTTTCTCTCAGGTCCTTCCTACCCCTTCACTTTTGTTGCTTTGGTAATCTGTTCCCATCCTTTTTATCCCATTATATCTGCCTAGACATCCCAAATCCAGCTACAGGTCTTGGGTTTATTTCATATCACCTCATTGGTTATTATCTGTTCATTCAGAAACTCTGCCATCCCTTAGGCTAAACAATTTATTCATAGAGAAGCAAATGCACCCTTACTGTATATATTATTAAGAGCACAAACATGAGGATGCAGCGTACATACGTATCTAGAACTAAATCACACCAAACTTAGGGGATTTACATTTTATATTTGCCAAGCTCTTTATTTTCAGGAAAGTTCCTCTACAAAATAATAATGAAAAATTGTACAAAGCAGTTTGTCAACAAGATCCAATCTACTGTCTGCTGCTGAACTCCCTGTCTAGCAACTAACTGGAACAGTTCTATGAACTACAATATTATGCAACCAAGGAACAACAACAAAAGCATCCTAGAAACTATTGGACTTTTTCCAATGACAATGATACTCTAGGCCAGGGGTGTCCAACTGGCGGCCTGTGGGCCGGATGCACCACATGCAGGCCATGCCCACCCCAGCTCTGCAAAGGCAAAAAACATCATGAGACATCACATGATGTCACGTGACATGCTCGAATTTGACACCAGTGCTCTAGGCTAAAACTAGACATGACACAGGAGATTCATAAAACAAATCAACCCATTAAAAAAAAAATCAAAGCACAAATTGCATAAACACACACACATCTATCTAAATATATTCTAACTAGAGAAAAATATAGATGTGCTTTTTGAGAAATTTAGCTATTGGGGAAAATGCTATTGGGGAAAAGATTTTAAATAAAGCTATACCTAAAGCTCAAGTTCAAATTATAATTCCTCAAGATGATTGGCGTATAACTTAGGGGTGCACAAAATATTTCAAGGTTAAAATGTTTTGATCCCCAAATGACCTATTCTAAGAGGGAGTATTGTAGAATTCCAATGAGTTATTCAGACTTACGGAAGTAGGGTAATCCTAGAACTGACTGTTCTAATCTGTCTTTTGCATTGGGGGTATAGATGTTGTGATGTTGAATATTTTTGATCATGCATGCATGCATCCATTTGTATGTAGGAAGAACTGGATCTTACACATGGTTTCAATGTCTCTCATGTTCAAAACAATGGTATATATGCATAAAAACATAACCAGTGCCCTGCTAGAACCCCTAGCCCTGTGATGGCAAAACTATGGCATACGTGCACACCAGCTGTCACCCATTGCTCTTCCGGGTTCCGGCATGCATATGCGCGCTGGCCAGTCTTCATATGCATGGGAGCACTGGAAACCAGAAGAGCAGTTCCCTGGTGCTCATACATGCGCCAGGAAGCTGAGCTTCTGGTTTCTGGTGCGCGCATACCAGATGGTCTTCATGTGCTCGTGTGTGCCAGAAACTGGAAGACCAGGTGACCCATGTGCATGCGCACCAGGGAGCTTAGCTTCCTGATGCATGCATGCACACCAGGGAACTGCTCTTCTGGTTTCTGGCGCTCCCACATGTGTGCACCAGGGAGCTGCTCTTCCAGTTTTTGGTGCTCCCATGCACATGTGTGCGCTCCCATTTTGGCATTCAGTGTTGAAAAGGTTCACCAACACTGCCCTAGCCTATCTACTCCAGCAGTCTGTTCTCATAGTGGCCAACCAACTGCACAAGGAAGTCTACTATTCTTCCAACAGATGGTCTACAGAAATAGTCACATTCCATCAAAGCTAATAGCCATTGATCCCTGTAATTTTCATGAAGTCCAACACTTTTTTAAAGCTAGTCATACTGGTAGCCAGCACCACATCTCATGGTAATGAATTCCAAAGTTTAATTATGAGTTATGTAAAAAAATTGTTTTGTGATCTTACGTTGTTTGTAAAATGTAAGATTTTTACATGTTTGTACAAACAAAAACGATAGTGCTATGTAACAATAGTATGCTACTACTCATCATATCGACCCAAAATAAATCATATACTTGGCCTCAGCTCCACTAAACTAGAATTGTATTGTGAGTAGATTTTTGCTCTAGAGACTTTCCGTGCTGGGCTCTGAAACCAGTAATGTTGAACTAAGGATGTGAACT